CCCGCTCTGTGTCTGTCTGTCCGTCCGCTGGGCGCTGCCTCTTCACTGGGGTTATCTCTGCTCCGATGGCCGAGGTTCGGAGGTTCACCAAGCGGCTCAGTAAGCCGGGCACAGCCGCCGAGCTGCGCCAGAGCGCTTCCGAGGCTGTTCGCAACTCGCTGTTGGCGGTGAGTGTCCGAGAAAGAGGGCGAGCCCCTTCAGAACCGGCCCGGGAACTGCTCTCTACCTCTGTCTGTGTCCCCTCCACTGCTTGTGCATCTGTCTCTCTCTTTGTGTGTCTGTGATTGTCTATTTCTCTCTCTCCTGTGTGTAACTCTACTCTTCTCCCACTCTGCGTATATCACGCTGTCTGTCCCCCGTTGTATCTATCAATATGCGTTTCTGTCTCTAACTGTGTGGAAGTCCATGTCCCGTTTCCTGCCTGTGCTTCGCGCTCTCTCTCCCCCGTGTATCTGTGTGTAATCTCACTCCTTCAGTGTCTGTTTGTCCCTCTCTCTCTCTGTGTGTCCCTTTGTATGTGTGTATGTGTATCTATGAATGTCTGCGTCCTTTTTTTGTATGTGTGTGTCTTTGTGAGCCAGTGTGTATGGGCTGGAGGGGGGTTGTCGGGGTGGGGGGAGGCACAGTGCATTTTATTTTCTATATGCTGTCATTGGCACAATGTTGTCCAGATTGAATTTTGAAAATGTTTCTTGCATACGCTAAGAATTAACTGTTTTGACATCTGAAAGGATTGTATCCACATGCTCCGTGACTGAGGTAGTTGAGCCCAGGATGAGCAAAGAATTAACTGTATTCTTGACTCTCATTGTTCACCGCACACAACGGGATTTAAAATCTAGCTTTAAATCCATAAATTGTTTGATGAATTGTTCATTGTGGTGTAAGTAATTTGTTTTGGTTCTACTTACAAGAGGTTTCCATAAGCGGGCTGTGATCCTTTTTAATATGAGGGAGGATGGATATGATGGGAGAGTATAGTTATAAATCAACTGTACATTAATGTAATGAGAAACGACTGTACTGCCAGCAGGCTGTGTACTCAGGAGGGCAGATTCTTCAGGAGCTAGAATGAGCCCTGATAGTTCTGTCTTCCTAAAACAATGCAGAGGTGTCACTTTCCTTTCAGGCACGGCTGCTAAAATACTCAAAGCAAGAGTTTGTGTGCTTCTTAGTAAAGTCCCTTCAAATCTTTGAAAGGTTGATCCCCTTGAAAGAAATTCAGCCAGTGCTTTTAAAAAAAAATCAAGTGATGCACTACCTTAATAATTCCATTCATTGTACAAGCTCTGTCCCCTATCCTGGTAACTATCTGAGACCAAATGTTCACAACCTCAGTTTGACACCATGATAAACTTCTAGCGCATATCCACACCATCTCTAGAGCTGTTAATCTCCCTGTCTGTAACATTACTCATCCTCGCCCTGACTGCTGCTGCAACTCTATTTCAGGCCTTTGTTAAGTCCACACCTAACTCTCCTGATGTCCTCCTGGCTGGCCTTCCACATATTACCGTCTGAGCTCACCTAAAATTCATCTGCCCCAGTCCTTACTTTTACCAATTCCGGCTCATCCACCACCTGGGTGCTCGCTAACCAACACTGATTGCCAGTTAAGCAATGTTTTGATTCTAAGATCCTCATCCTGGCTTCCAGGTTGCACTGGGACCTCACTGCTCCCTATCTCTGTCCTCATCACTAGCCCCACGCAACTCTGAGGTATATGTGCTGCTCTCATCCCAGAGTTCCATCACTGCACTGTTGGTGGCCAGGTTTTGGTCGTATTGAGTGTTCCAAAGTGCTGTACAGTCACTGAAGAAATTGAAGTACACTCATATATTGTAACTATAGAAAAATAAAATGACTGTGCATGGCAAGATCCCATTAGTTACTGTGAAATTATGAATGGACACCTCCTTCAGGGATTTTTATTTTGTCGATTGTCCAAGAGATCTTGACTGTTTTTGGACAGTGTGCCGTGGGATCTTTTAAGCACACAAACAGGGCCTCAGTTTAATATCTCATCTCATCTCATCCAAAGATGGCATCTCCAACTGGGGCTAGGGACAGAAAGCATGGGTCCCGGTCCTGCTCCTGACTTGGAACTGTGAGCCCCCTAAAGCCCTGGATGTTGGTATCAGACCCTGATACATCCCCACCAATACCTTCTTGAAGTGGTCTCTGAGGTGGATTTTGAATCAACAAACCAGGTGCAAGTTGTGTTTGCATAGAGCCCAGCCTGATGTTGGGAGGGGTTTGTGAGGCCTAAAAGACGGTATTATAGGTTACAATTCTGGGGGGTGGAAGAATGGCTGAAGGTTCTGATGAAGACAGGAGTGAGGTAGAGTGGGAAAAATTTGTTTGGAGTGAGTTTTGCTGATGATGACAATCTGGGTTGCGAAGTTTAGCTGTGTCTCACTGCAAATACGGACTGACTGGTCATTGCAGTAAGCAGCCATGTTTTTTTTTCTGTATTCATTCATGGATGAGGGCTTCGCTGCCTGGGCAGCATTTATTGCCCATCCCTAATTGCCCAGAGGGCAGTTAAGAGTCAACTACATTGCTATGGGTCTGGAGTCACGTGTAGGCCAGACCAGGTAAGGGTGGCAGTTTCCTTCCCTTAAGGACATTAGTGAACCAAATGGGTTTTTCCAACAATCGACAATGGATTCATGGTCATCATTAGACTTTTAATTCCAGATATTTATTGAATTCAAATTCCACCATCTGCCATGGCAGGATTTGAGCCCAAGACCCCAGAACATTATCTGGGTGTCTGGATTAACAGTCCAGCAATAAGACTACTAGGCCATCTCCTAGGGAGATGGAGTAACTTGGAAAGTAAATTCTTGCAAGAACTGATATAAGGACTTTGGTTGTCCCAATTTTAGGTGGAAGGCAACACCAAGTAGGTAGTAACATAGAGCTGGGCATTGTCACGTGGATGTAGAGAATGAAACTATGCTGACAGATAATGCTCTGAGGTTAAAGAAAAAGTAGGACATATGAATGGAAGCTAAGGGTTTAGTGAGTCCATGCATGTGGAGTCAGGAAGGATAAACTGTTTCTGGAGAAGAGATATAATGGATAAATGGTTGTCTCTTCATTTGCTATAGAATGCTAAGGGACATTCCAAAGTGGTGAAAGGCTGTAGATGATTACTTCCAATAAAAATGACAATGTTTGTCAACAAAATCAGATGGAGCCGCTGATGCTGCAAGTCACCAGTTAGTGGTTAAGCTGTGGACTTGAACCGACTTCAAGGTAACATGCCTGGTACTGAATGGAAGGTTGAAATTGAGCCAGGTCCCTGTAACCTGAGGCAGGGAAGTGATTCACCAACGTCACTGCTAGTTTCTTCTGTTCAAGAGGGCAGTTACTTTATGGGTGCACTGGCTTCACTACAGTTGCAAGATGAAGGGAATATTGTGGCACAGGGTTACAAATCTGACTCTGTACTGTGCCGCACAAAGGAGAGCAAGCCTGAGATGTGAGAAATGTGTTCAACATTTATAGCCTTTGCCCACAGCTTGAAATAATGAACATTGAAACTAGTACCCACCCAAAATAGAATGGAAATGAACGAAACACATTGTGCAATCATGTAGGGGAAAGGATTTCAGAATAGAATGAGTACATTGTGAAAAAGCATGGCATCAGATACAAATAGAGGGGAGGCAATGGCTTAGTGGTATTATTGCTGGACTGTTAATCCAGAGACCCAGATAAATGTTTTGGGAAACTGGGTTCCAATCCTGCTGTGGCAGATGGTGGAGTTTGAACTCAATAAAACTCTGGGAAATTAAGAGTCTAATGATGATCATGTAACCATTGTAGATTTTTTTTTTAAGGGAAGGAAACTTCAGTCCTTATTGGGTCTGGCCTGTACATAACTCCAGACCCACAGCAATATGGTTGACACTTAATTGCCTTGATGAGCAATAAGTGCTGACCCAGCCAGTGATGCCCTCATCTTGTGAATGAATGAAAAAAAACACCTTAAAACAGAGTGACTACTTTCAAGGTAGACTTCTTATTGAGAATAAATATGAGGAATTTAGACTTGTGTTCTGGTACTTAGCTGGTAGTGAAATATTTTGATTGATATATTCCTCAGATATTCCCCAACACCAAAATAGAAATTTTAGCAACTCCTTTGGAAATCTTGATGCACTCCTCCTGGGCTATCTGTACATCCTGACACTTTGCCCGATACCGTCTCCGCATCCTGCATCTACTGATGTGGACCTGGGGTCTCCTATACATCATAACACACATCTGTGGATCTCCTTTAAATCAGGGTAATCTCCTAAGGATCTTCCCAGGCACAAACTGATCCACTCCCAATAACCTCATACCCGGCCTTTCGATATCCTATCTTCATATCACTTGATGCCTTTCTCCCCTCATGTGCTTTCCTAGTTTTATGGGAATTGCATCTGCTTTTTGCCTTAACTGCTTCATGTGGTGACAAGTTTCACATTCTCTCCACTCTGTCTGAGTAAAAGAATTAATCTTAAATTCGCGTTTTGATTTTTTAGTGATTATCTGATGTTCCCAACCCTGGTTCTGCTGGCCTTGCATGTGAAGGTATCTACTCCCTGAAGCTCCTTCATAATTATAAAGAGCTTTGGGACCACATCCCACTCAGAGATTTCCATTTTCTAGAAAAAAGCCTGTTTTGTCTGCTTTGATGGTTATAACACCTCAGTTCTAGTTACATCCTTGAAAATTGTATGTTTCACCTACTCCAATCACCCTAAGCCCTTTTCAATTAATACAGACATCTAGAACTGTACACAGCATTCCCAAACAGCAGTGGATGCAGGATCGGTTGTCAGAGACTCAACGCAGTGAGGGAGAAGCCATCCTGGATATCACTGTTTGAGAGCTCTGGAAGATTCTCTCTCTTTGGCCATCTACACACACTCTCTTTGAAATGAAACTTTGAATTCAGAGCATTATAGGTCTACGCCAGGCAGTAGGCTGTGATTGCCAGATTTAGCTTTTGAAAAAAAACTTGTTATTGTAGGTTTTGGCCTGAAGTAGTGATTGCCAACTTTTTTGTTTAAGCTTGTGACCTTTCAGTGAAAGTAAATAACTTTCTCTTGGCTTCGATTTGAGCTGATGGCTCGTGGCAATGGGTAGTGACCGAGTTGTGCTTGCA